GCTATGCTCTTATTTTTTCCATCCAGCCAAGAGAGGAACTTTACTGATGCCCAGGTCTGCGAAGTCCAGTCCCAAACGCTGCCCCTCTGAGAACTACTCCACTGCTTTTGGTCACCTGATGCCAAGAGAGGCACAAATGCACAAAAGGTGAGCAACACACAACATGTTATCAGTTCTGCAAGTTAGATTAGGAGATCAAAGCAAAGTGAAAACTGCTATAATATCTCAAAATGTTGGATGGATTGCAGAGAACATTTTGCACATTTATTAATTCTCTCTTCATTGGCTCAATTTGGCTGTCGTGAAATTGTGTTAATGCTTAAAATACAACAGGAGAGTGATGACCACCCTTGTGTCAGACAATGTGCAACACTGCCTGCTAAAATGTAAGACATCTTGCTTACAAAAAACCCGAAGCAGGCCAAATAATTCCTTGCTTGTTAAAATGCAATCCAAGCATGACTTGAACCATAAACAGCTTAGTGAGCCAGTGTTACAGAGACATAACTGCAGATTCTTGACGACTTTTATCTACATTACACTGCAGAAAATCAGTTTTGAAAACAATCTAATTTTGTCTACAGGACTGATGATGAAGTTGACCCGAGGCGTGATTCATTCCACAACGGCAGTCCCAGGAAGAGACTCCAGTTTTCCTCATCAGACAGAGAAGATGGTAATTTATTCAAGCTCTAGTGGTTTTAAAAGTAAATGTGGTATAGAAATTAAATTCTTATGGTTGGCCCGATTTCTTTATGCTAATATTTTTGTATTTCTGTCAAAACAAGTATTTGAGCAACTTTGAAATGTTTATCCAGTCTTTTGGAATTGATCTAATTTACTTAAGGAGTGTATACATTTTCAGTTTTTGTGAAAAATGTTATGTTTATGATGAGATATAACAATTTGTATCTTATGGAAAATTGTTTGCTGTTGCAGGACAAAGTAGGTCAGAGTGCACAAAACTAAATGGGGAAACAATACATTTGATCAATAAAGTGCAAAACCCAAATATACACAATATAAACTTTACGGTGTTTTCTACAGTTATTGATATAAATGTGGTGGATACAAATAAAGTAAATATCTGCTCACATGGAGGATCACATCACACTCTGCTCCTCTCCCTCAGACCTGCAGCAGTGCTCGGGCAGTGGTAACCCTCTGGAGGGAAACCCCCAGCTGGGCTGGGAGGGGCCGGGGGTCTCTGGTGTCTCCGAGCTGCAGGACTCCTGCGAGGACTCGCCTCCGTTTCTCCTGGACAGATTCCACTCGCTGACTGAGGCCGAGAAACTGTTAGACGAGCTGACGCAGGAGAAACTGCAGGTGAGGGCTTTTTATATCTCTGTGAGAGGAGCTGACTCACAGATCATCACACACAGTGTTGAGCCACTCCTCAACCAGGGTTACGAAATCATAAAAAGTATAAAAAGTTAGGCTTATCTATCTGAGGCATTGTGTTGAACAAAACAATAGCAGAAAGTGATAAAATACATGTACCAGGCAAAAAAAATAAGGACAAATAATAATAATAACAAGATCAAAGAAAACCAAACTTAAATGCATCAACCTGAATGTTAAATCATTTTACAAATTAAAAGGTAAAAACATTTTAACAATTAAGCTTTCCTATCTTTTCAAACTCTTTTCCTGTTGCAGTCTACTTGATATAAGTTTTTATTTCTTAAAAATATCATTAATAAACTCAAACCAATGATTTTCCAATGGCAGGTACCTCAGACAGTTCAATATAATGTCTAACTGAAGTACTTGTTGCAAAACTTTATGAACATCCTGTAGAAAGGAATTAATAATGGTCAAAATATAATATAAAGAATTTTCTGGGAGAACCACACTGTCTCCAGCAGTTAGAAGATTTGGTAATGAGTTTTCCAAACAAAGTTCACTTCATAAAACAGAATTTGAAATGTTCCATTTACATCACATATTTTCGCAAAGGACATTTACTCAGTTTAAAGAGCTTTTTATCTCTGACTCACAGGCCTTAACAGTGCAACTCTAATCCTCAGCTGACCTCTTATGTAACACGGACTTTATTGTTTTTACACCACTCCTAAATGACTTCTATTTTTAGAAAGTTGATGTCCCCCCCTTTCCCCCCCCTTCCTCTGTCCTAGTCCTAGGGACATCTGGGCACACACACACACACACACACACACACACACACACACACACACACACACACACACACACACACACACACACACACACACACACACACACACACACACACACACACACACACACACACCACAAAGTGTGGTGAAAGTGAAAGCATTCAGCACATGTAATTTTCCCGGTTGTTTCATCAATAGGATTATTTGTGGTACTAAATGCCAACTTGTGTGTGTTGTGCAGGTTGAGGCAGCTTTGAGTCGGATGCCTGGAGCCGGAGGGAGAGTGACTCTACAGACCCGGTTAGATGAGGTGAGACGCCAGATATATTGATCATGTTCAAACACTTTAGTTTTTTTAAAGTGAGAGCTAAAGGCTAAGTGGATAACTTTTTTTTTAACCAATTGTTGATTGTCAAGTTTCTCAAATGTGAGGAAGACTGCTTTTCTTAGTTTGATATAATTGTATTATTTGATATTTTGGGGTTTTAAATAAACACTTAGGTCACATTGAGCTCTAGGATATTATAATGAGCATTTTTCAAATGTATTTCCCTTTTTACATTTTATACACCAAACGAGTATTGAATAAATTACACAATTTTTTATAAAATGTTCCCCCAGTACAAACCTGTAACGATTAGTTCACTATATACAAACACAATGATTGATTGATTGATTGATCCAAAATGTTATTATTAGTTATTGTTAACATATTTTCTAAATGATCGATTGAGTTTCCCATCATGAAACGACTGTGAAAATCTCTTGTGGATTTTTGCCAATCGAGGGCTTTGTTTTCATTCTTAATTCATGGGGTTAGTGAAAAGTCAGAGAATCACCAAAATAATTAGTATTCATCCTCTGAACTCCATACATGTATGAGCTAATTTTTATGGCAATCCCTTCAAAAGTTGTAGAGATATTTTAACCAAAGTGGTGGACTGACAAACAGATTGCGATCATGGCATTTTGCAGGTCTCCCTTGAAAAAGAGATCTATGATCTCAAGGGACCAATCTGGATAAATAAAGGTTTGAAATGAAATGAAATGGCTAAAAAGCTGCAAATCTTTCCGTTTGAAGAACAGAAACCAGATAATTTATTATATTTTTGCTTCATAAATAAATGAAACTAATAACCAATCATCCAAGTAGTTAATTTTCTTCTCTTTCTCCTCCCCAGGTGGCCTTAGAGAACCGTCTGGAGAGGCTGAATCGACAGCTGGGATCTCTCCGCATGACTCTGAAGAGATTCCACGTCCTCCGCTCCTCTGCCAACATATAGCAAAGTCTGTCTTTACTCACCACAGTGTAGAAACTTTCATACACTGCACTGATTGTCTGCCTGTGCCATAAAACCATCTGTACAAAGACTCCACGCCATCTTTTTATACGTATATCTCTGGGATATTTTTATATGTCTGAAAGATATTTCCATTTTTGGAGTATATTTTTAGAAATGCACAGATTTGTAAAGTCGTTTACTTTTTTAGTCACAGAAATATTCATATGATATGTTTTACTTGCCATATTCAGGTGTAGATTTTTAAATCTGCCATGTGAATGAATAATCAAAAAGGACTTTCCAGCAGAGACATTCATCCACTCGGGAAATATGACTGCCATTTTAATTAATGTGTCAATGAACATTTCTGATGTCGAAGGTGTTTGTTTTATGTTTTCGTACATTTTTAACATGTTTATTTCGTTTTTTTCTATTTGCTTTGGGCCAAATGTATGAAACTTGAAAAAAGAATTTGTTTACTTGAATCAAAATCGCCTTTTTGCTTTGTTTACTTTCCATTACTACTTGACACTTTCCTTGCTTTATGTTTCATATTTGTTACAGGACTGGACGCTCTGTATTGGAGCTCATTGTAAAATCCAAACCAGCACACTTTCAGTACACACAGACACACACACAGACACACACAGACACACACATTTTTTGTTGTTTCTCGATCGATGCTTGTGCATGGAATCTTGTGCACTGCTTACTTTTGCCATGCAGTTTTCAACAAGACGTGAACTTCACTGGAACTATAATATTGTTGTTGCACAATAAATTAAGATTTTTTCGATAACTACTTGTAACATTGTTCCTGTTATTATGACTGACTCGTTTTTTACTAATTTTGAATGTCTTTGACACAAATATTACATTATATTTTTGTATATGAAGTTATAGAAACCCTGGCTGTTTTAATAGATCCTTTACTTAAGCAAGAACATGAACCACACTAAAAACAATTGCCTACAAGTAAAAGTCCCGGATTAAATGCCCCACAGTCAAAGAAGTCATTATGCAGAATGCAGAATTCGAGAAAACTGATTTATATCACTGGATTATAACGTTTTATGCATGAATGTGTCCATTATGCCTACATATTATGTTGCAACTGGTAAAGGTTGAGCTCATATTAACATTTGTCATATCTACTGCTGGGTGGCAATCTTTGGTTTTCAATTAGCAATTTAAGGTTACTAATTTGATTAAATAAAGTGGAATATAACCATAAAGAAGCACAATATTGAGTTATAATATAACTCTAGGTGGTACGTATTGTACATCTTAATGCTCATATTACAGTCCATAATTTTACTTACGGCACATTTTGAATGTAGTAGACATTTGCATACTGTTGTATCGTTACTTTCACTAATAATATCGGTGTTATTCCACCAGTGGTTCAAGTATTTCCAGCCGTAATGTCCACATTACCCAGCCTGACTCCTGCAGGCGGCAGTGCACCACGGGGGGGCGCCCCTCTTCTTCATGTGCTGCAGGAGGATGTGCTGTCTTCTTCTGATGTAACTGTTAACCTGATCTGTGCTCAGACACCGGCGACACACCGGAGCTCACACACACTGGAGCTCACACACACCGGACACACACAGCACACCGTGTTTAGTGATGGAGCTGCAGCGGGGAGGGTGGGACTGACAGGCCGACACATGAACGCTCCGAGCGGGGGACTACAGGACGAACAGCGGTCCCCCTCCAGCGCAGAAAATAAACACCATCACCGACGATATCATCACCGGGCGTCTGCTGGGAAAATACACCTTTCACTGACAGCGATGTTGAATTATGTGGAGATCCAGGTGAATAACAGGGACTAGCTGCAGGTGAGTCCCTCCTGATGTTGTGTTGTTTATCTGATAACACGCTGTCAACACTGATTAACTCTCAGGCTTCACGTTAATTAGACAGACTGACACGATGCAAATGTTAATTATCTCCTCCAGTATTTGTGGGAGTGTTTGCATTAGCTGCAGTGGTCAGGTGACATCCATCGTTGTAGCTTTCCTTGAACCAAAACAGCTGATGAATAGCATCTATATCTCATTGTGGTTGTTATTATATTGTGTGTATTTATGTGCTGTGCAGATATTCAGTCTCACACAGCACCCTCTGGCAGGGAGATAGCATGTTGCATAAACCTCCTATGTTGTACTTAAAAGAGAGAAGGATGTTCTATCTCTGCATGTAACCCACCCAATAAGCCGTATAATGTCCGGTATACATCGGCTTTAAATGAAGTATACTTCAATGTGCACAGATGGATTTGAGTAAATCCCCTCTGTATGCACCATCATTTCCCTACAGCAGACTATACACAGCCCCAGATTCACTCACCATCACAACTAGATTAGGACTCTGGGTTCCTCTACAAGACAGGGTCACAACATGCAGGACTCAAAAAGGGTGGATATGTTGCTTATTTGGTGCACATTTCTGAGAAATCAACCAACCAGACTAACAGTCTAGCTGCGTTAAGATAAAGACTAATGTTAGCATTGATTTGGACAATGCCTTTCATTTGCAAGAAAAAAGCATTATCCGTTTAGACTGGAAGATGTTAGAAAATTATGAGAAATACCTTTCACACCATCATAAAACCCCACAAGGAAGACTTTATACTGCTTGTTTTTGGCTAATCTACAGTACAAATATTTTAAATGTATGGTTCACAAAAGACAGAGAAAAGTAGCAAATATGAACATTCATGAAGCTTAAAGAAAGAATAAACAAATATTTGAGTTTTAGATGAATCAATACAAATGTAAGCATCCCCCCTGCAGCTGGCCATCTGAGTTCATCACACATAATTAGGTATTTTTTATATTATATTTCTTGAAATTGTGCCTTCCTCTTTCACATTTCCCCCCTCCTTTCTGTAAAGCACAATATAAATAATTTAACTTGACTTTCTCTCATATTAACTGTCTGAAGTTTGACCTATCCTAGAAGTTGTCCTGGACATCCTGCTCACAATGCATGCCTCCACAGGGCTGGAGCTATTCTCAGACTGAAGGTGAAACAGTAAAGAGCTGCTGTGGTATGTGTGATTCACACCGAGCCTGAAACCTATATAGACGGATGATGCAGAGGGGCCAGAACTTTCTAGGAAGAAACACTTTACCCCTTGAAAAAGTTTCGCAGTAGCCACAGAGCTTAAAATAATCAGTGTTAGCGCATTTTCAGTAAGGCAAATATAACATGTATCTTACTCTAGATAACCACATTATTAATTTGACAATAATTCTAACTGTAGATACAGTTTAATTGAGTAAAACAAGCCTGAGTTCTTAGCCTTTGAGCAAAAAGATACCATCAGCTTGCTAACATGCTAACAAATATAGTGCTAATACTAGGTTATTGACTGTTAGCTCATGTAAGGTTTAGTTTTGTTAGCATGCTAATTAGCAGGAAACACAACATACAGCAAAGGCCAATACAATAGGAGTTCATGAATTTTGCAGGAATCTTGTCATACACCAAAGAAAAGGAATTTAAAATCAATTTAAAATGTAATAATTAACTGACAAAGGTTCACCAAAGTCAGTATGATTTCACATTTCAAAATTATGAAAGTTTTAACCAAATTTCTTGAAAATTCATCTAGTTGTTAATGGACTGACCTTTTCTTAAATATGAGGATTTGCTGCTTTTGCTTTATTTTGATCAGTAAAATACAAATATTTGAAATTGTAAAAATATGTTAAATCATTAGAAAAACATCACTTTTTTTTGGGATAAACATTCTCATCAGTAGCAATTCATCTAGTAGTTCTTGAGATATTGATACCAAACTCAAAATGTCCGCCTTGTTGTGGCACTAAAGGGAACATCAGGGGATCATGAAAGTTATAAGGGTTCATCCTTAGGGTACCATGAATGCCTGCACCAAATTTCACCTCAATCCATCCGACAGTTGTTGAGATATTTCAGTCTGAACCTGAGTGGCGCACCAACCACAAACCGACCTTTCCTTGGAGCCGTGCTGCTATCATGTCTACAAATCTTGTGTGTTATCCAAAGATTTGACTTGCTGATTGAAGTAGTATCATATCATCTCCACTATCACCACAACCATCAGATCCACTGTATGAGGTTCTGTTTCCTCCCATTTCAGGATCAGTGTGCATGATTTGAATGTGTGTGGTGGGGGACTGAAAGAAGATGGAGCCTCGCAGGATCTGATTATCGGGCCAAAATGATTAGGTTTGCTTTAATGAATGCTGTTAGGAAGTGGCCACCGCAGAAAGAATGAGTCATGGTATTGATTGCCGCCCCCTCCTTCACTTGCTCCTTCTCCCTCCTCCCTACCCTCCCCCGTCTACCAATCCATCCTTACTTCTATTTTCTTTCATCTCACCCCTTTTAAATCAATCTTCTCCCATCTCGTGGAACATGCCAGGTTTTTTCCTCCAAAGCTACGTCAGACAGGTTTTTTGAGGAGGGTTGGCATGCAGCCGGGCCGAGCGTTGCATACTAATAACGGCATGACTCGCTCAGCGCTACAGTCTGGATGAGAGAGGAGGGGGAGGTAGGGAGGATGGGGAGGGGGTCTTGTCACGAGATGCCACGTCATCACAGTGTGTGGAATCTATTTATAGCAGGGTAAACAGAGGGATTCCAGCCCACTGATCATGGCTTCACAGTGCGTGGAGGCAGGCTGCAGACTGTAGTGTTGCACTTGGATGTGAATGGAAAACATTTCTTTTTAGTCCTGACTGTTTTGCCTACAGCGTCACTCCCTCTCCTCCAACCGCCTCGGCCTGTCAGGGAGAAACACTGCGCCACAAATAGACGGAAGATCTGCCCATCTTTCGCTTTCTGCTCCTTATTGTGCCTCACATGCATGGACATATGCACAAGCCTCACATAGGAAATAATCCAGCATGCAGAAGGGAAAGTAACCAACATTAAGAGCTTTATTTGTGAGGATATCAGAGGCTGTTATGCAGTCATACAGTACAAAGTAAAACCAGATAAATGACATAAAATAATAGATCAAATATATAATATACACTCCAACATGAAGTGTAGGTGTCTAACTTGACGCCATACATTAATGAGAAGCTCATAATCGTTAAATTATTACCATTAATCATTGCGCCATTCTAAAAATGTTGCACCTTTTGATCCTCATTGTTTAACGCACATATATATTTGACATATTGTTTTGGTCTAAATGTCTATTTTGTATTTTAAGATTTAAGAAAATGTACAATTCAGTGCACAAAATATGCGTTTCATGTTAATGTCCTTAACCCAAAAGTCCTTAACCCGAAAGTCCTTTGGGTCTGTATTGCAAATCATCTGGTTTTATTCTGAAATATATATACTTTTCAGAATTATAGTCCAACGATCTGCTTTATTGTTGCTTCTTTTAAGCTCCAGAACTACATGTAATCAATGATGGATGAATTTATTTTATTTTCAAAAAGTTGTTTTGCTGTGATTTAATACAGCAGACACTGAGAAAGACTGAATTACATATATACAGCAATTATAATACATTTAAACACGCATTTTCCACATCCAGAGAAGAGTATAGTTTGCTAATAGTGCAGTACGTTTACTTGTATTTTTATATTATGCTATTCCCTTTGTCACTTAAGTACAAGGCTTTGTATTCTTCTTTCAGCCCCGGTGCTCCCAGAAGAAGCTGCATATAGACTCACATTAACAGGGTTTCCAGCGGGCAGTCAGAGGGTGCCCTTGTAGGAAAGCTAAAAATAGATCCATACCTTCATGACGTCCCCAGTTGCTCCGGTGGAGGGGGGGGGAGGGGGGGGGGGGGGGGGGGGGGGGGGGTGGACATGTGAGACCGAGGATGGGGGAGTGGTATTGTTCTGAGAATCCAAAGCTAGAGCTGTCATGTTTGGCCACGTTGGCAGTGCTCATGCGGTTTGTTTGAGCACTTACTCTAATTAACAATTGCCGGGCTTTGTTCAGGTCCAGCGAGGCGTTGTGTCCTCATCAAATATTCAGACGCACCATGTTCAGTAGTATGGATGAGGAAGAGCATCCTGCTTACCTGATACTTTGAGCGTCGCTCTGTTAGTTAAAGTCATCTCTGTGCATCGCTTCCCTCGGACTCACTGACGTGCTCTGCAAGTGGAGCTTTGAGATAAATACTGATAATAGTTTTAAAGGGGCCCTAATATGCTTTCCCTTTCCTTTAGTCCGTTCAAAAAGTGTTTGTGTATGTAAATGATCCTCCCTTGGACTCCTTTGTTTACTTCCGTAACATAGTGACATCACTAAGTAATAGGGATGCTCCGATCGCCAATTTTGGGGGCGATCGCCGGAATCAGTATCGGCCGATACCGATCGCCGATCCGATCGAGTGGGCGGGGCCTAAATGGAAGATTTAAACATCACTTTAAATCTTCCATTTAAAGTGATGTTTAAAACTCAGTTAATAGGGCTCATTCACTGGAGCTTCCACAAACAACAATCAACTTAATTATTACATTCAAATGATGTACATTATTCAAGTTTACATTCACTTTGGATAATACCACGGGAGAAATGAGCAAGCGCTCTCCTTTCCTCTCTCCCTCTCTCTCTCTCTCCCCCTCTCTCCCTTGACAGTGAAGAATAAACATATTTATAACTAGTTTAGCTTGTTCCAGAGGTAGATCAAATAGCTAAGTGTGTTAGGTCTAACTCTTGTGTGTTTCGCTCCGCTCACCGGTCCATCACAGCGGGTGGAGCTGCAGGATTTCTGCTTCACACACATACCGCTATTTTACTGTCTTTTTCGGACACCTTAAAATAATGCCAGACCGGTGAAGCCATTTTGGCGAGCTTGTTTTGCCGCGTACAGAGAAAAGTGTCATGTATTTTACGTCATGCGGTCGGCTCTCGCGATCGGCATGTTTAGAGAGCACCGATCGATCGGTAGAGAGTGAGTATCGGCCGATCTCGATCGGTGACCGATCGATCGGAGCATCCCTACTAAGTAACATGCGCTTCTTTTGGCTAGCACTCCAACACATTGTACGTGATAGGCTAAGGGGCGGGACATCTCTAAGTGGTTGACTAATCACAACAGAGCCGGCCAGCAAACCAATCAGAGCAGACTGGGCTCGGGTTTCAGACAGAGGGTGAAAGGCAGAAAAAGGCAGAATGAGAAAAATAAAGCACTTTTTGAACATTAAAGCATCTGAACATGTAACGTAGAGGCACAACAAATATTCTTTCTTTTACACATTGCTGATTGGATTCAGATCACAGCTACTCCCTTTTTATGATGGCTTCTTATTGTAACTAAGCATTTGCCTTTTGAACGTCTGGAACCCAGCAGGAGCTAATTTGCAACTACAGCAACAATTTGCCTACTATTTGCATTTTTCAGCTATTCATCATTTTTCAAAGCTCCTGTCAAATGAAATAGATGGCAAGTGTTTTTCTGTAAATTTACCAAAATGCATGACAATCCATATAATCATTGTTGAGATATACAAACAGTTAACAGACAGTTTTTGATCTGATGACTGTGCTACAACCAAAAGGATGTAATTCACCGAGGAGAATGTGAATGTGAATGTGTTCCAAATGTCATGACAATTCAAACATAGTTGAGACGTATCCAAAGACTCAATATACGATGTGGATTTAGACACAATATTGTGACTAATTGATTTTAGGTTTACAATTTGAAACTTCATAGATGGTGTTTTTGCTGTTACTATCCTGTGTTTTTGCTACCACAACTGGCAGGACAATACAACGCGAAACCCAAACATGACATTTGAAGTGGGGACTGTAATGTTACAAATAACTCTTTAGCGTTAATGTCTAAGACTAAAATGTACAAAACCCATACTGAACAACACCATGTTAGTGACCTGTCAATCACAAGGTAACCCTGCCCTAAAGCATACCCTTCTTTATTGTTTATTTTACTCTAAATGGGACCATCACTTATGAATTGACATTATGCTGTATTAAAGAAGACTTGAAATGACCAATGGAGAATTAATTCATGTATAAATTACTTTATGAGGGAATTAATCAATTGAGAAATAGGGTCATTTTCTCATAGAGTTCTGAACTTAGATTTAACTGTATTGTCATTGCACATATAACGAAATGCAGTTTGGATCATCCAACCAGGAAGTGCGAAGAGTAGATAAAGATTTTAGAACAATATTAAAGGGAACGCAGGTTTTGCACATTGGCTTTTTAGACCTGGGTATCATGAACGCATATATCACATTTTATGGTAATCCATTCAATAGTTGCTGAGATATTTCAGTCTGGACCAAAGCGATGGACCGGGTTTGTAATGATTTTGTGAGTGAGTGATACATCTTCTCTCAGACGTTATAAATGTGAGCAATCAAGAGATGAATCTGTAGTCTTAATAGATGCTTAATCCTGGTGACAGGACCGGGTGTCCCTGCAGAGCGTCCCTGCAGAGCGTCCCCCCCCCCTGTCTGCCCCACCACCCCGGCTGTATATTAGCCAGCCTCGGAGGCCTGGAGCCGGGCCAAACAGTAATGGTATTGGCCCCGGAGAGTGGAGCTTCCCCTCCTTATATCTCCTTCTAAATCTCCTCAGCTAAATGAACTGTATTCCTCTTCTGTCCTAATGTTTCCTTGTCTATATTAACATCAACCTGCCTCTCTGCTGTCCACCTCCACCTGCAGATCCTCTTATCGTGTGTGTGTGTGTTTGTGTGCATGAGTGCTCAGATGAGACTGTAAATGACCATGTGTTGATAGAGTTAATTGTGAGTTGTTGAAAGAGGCTTCTCTGATCTCAACCGCCTGCTGCTTCCTTCTGTTGGAGTTTCTCATGGACGGTTTTTATGTTGAAGGAATGCTTTTTTGCTGCTCAGCTCTGTGCTCACTGACCTTGATTTCTATCTTATAGCCTTCATCACTTGACTTTGATCTGACACACATACATCTGTGCAGCTAGTATGTGTATCTTTTCTCTTGCAGTATTTCTTTACTTTGTGCCATTTATCATTGTGCTTCTTTGACTTGTCGAAGGACAACAGATGGAGTTTATCCTAAAGCTATGATCTGTGACAGTGCATCAAATGGTGACATTTATGTGTACCGTTTTGTCCGATTTTCAAAAATATCTACTTTCAATTATTTAAACGGATATTGCAATTGCTTTATGATTTATGATGTAAGAAGCATTGATCATTTTGCATCATAATTGCCATTTTTGTTGAAAAATATATAAATTGTGATTCATCGGTACACAATGCCCAATATAGAATATTATGTTGACACATTTTTGCTTTTTAAGGAATATTGTGTCTCTGGCATTTTAGATATTGCAATTAAGATAAAATGAGTATGAACTGTTCATCGCTGTATTTTCTCCTCAACTCAACGAGGCCTAATTGAATAAAGGTGATAATAAAAGAGAGATTATACTGTATAATGTTGCATTTACAGCTTGTTTTGCTGCTTTCCTTTCATTATTTTAAAAGCTGTTCCTGCTGGTGACTTTAAATCTAAACTTAAAGAGAACAGTTATGTGTTTTCTTTCATCAAGGGCAGCCAGCGAAAATAAATCTGTGACTTTCTGTTTCCTCATTCATAAAATGTTTATTTTTAAATGAGCGAACACCATTATAGACTGAAGCCCCATGAACAGTGTGCGGGGTGATTAGCCTCCCTCCCCCCCTCCCCCCTCCCTCCCACAGACAGTGATGCATCGCCGCCATTTACCAGAACGCAGGAAAGCAGAGCAATTTGAGAAGCATCACAACTAACCCCTGCCTGCAGCCCCACCACCATCACGCTGCTCTCTGCCCCCCCCCCTCCACCTCCACCGCCACCCTGAGCTAAAAATAGCTCGTCCTCTCTCATCACCCAGCCATCACGTCAGGCTCACTCTCATTTGCTGCCTACGTCTCTTTTCATGTTGTGATGTTTTCAGAGTGTCAGATGTTCACATGTTTGGCATATGGACTTCCATCTGATCTTAAAGTAATGTCGTTTTTATAAATTGTACTTTCTTTGATTTTATTCTGTTGCATTTCTTCTGTTCCTCAACCTTGATTGAGGAAGGAAGTGATTTCAAAACATGACTTCTGGTATTTATGGAATATGAAGTGTGAGGTCTTTGAGGAAACACTCTTTTAGAGCTGTGTGTCAGATAGTAGAGCGTGCCTCGTTAAACTGACATTAGCATCTCTGCTGTTTCTCATTCACAGGAAGAAGGAGAGGAAACCATCGCTGGAGATGGACTGCAGGTCGGTGATAACATCTCATATCTGTGAGTTTGATGAAACAAACCTTCTCTGTCAGCTAAGCAGCAGTTGAGGAAGTATTCAGTTCCTTTTATCTAAATATAAGCAAAAATTCAACAATTAAAAAATATAGAATTGCCAGTAGAAGTCTGACTGAAGCATTATCAGCAAATACAGGTAAAGTATCAAAGTAAAAGTCTCTTTTTCTAGAATATATCTAGTAAAATAGTAACTAGTGAATACAGCTATCAGGTAAATATAGTGGAGTTTAACAAATAACTAAACTAATTTAACAATATTTGCATCTGGGACCATAACAACACAAATGTAAAGGAGATGAGCAATGAAATTCACCCTTTATTTTTATTTTGGTCTGGAATAACTAATATAGTATGCTAGCAACATTTAGATCATAAATGATACGTAATTATTATTAATGACTGTTTTTGAACACTGTAATTGCCTACAAATTGAACAGTAGTTAAGTACAGTACTTGAGTAAATATACTTCCCAACACTACAGCTGGGATTATTTTCCAGCCATTTAGCCTTGCAACTCGGTGACATTATGATATTAAAATTCTGAACGCTGCTATGTAAATAAATAAAGATATCCATCAGGGATTTGAGCACATGCTGCAGCAGCCAGCGTGACGTCCTGATGAAATGCTGCCAGTGACAGCAGGAGCCGACGCACGGTAACATCCCAGGCCGGCGTTTGATTCGAGCCGATGAGTAACAGGAGTGTCTGGTGAGCAGAGATGTGTTTGACACGGTCACAAATTAACAGCCGTTATAGTAGCAGATGTTCACATTGTGCAGCAGGACTGTGTGGCGTTGAGGGGTTGATTCTGTTAGCGTGTGTTCTGCTGATGCTCGGATAAAGTGTGTGTGTGTGTGTGTGTGTGTGTAGGGCGAAGTACCCATCAACAAGTCATTTTATTCTGAGGATGTACATCCCTGCAGCTGGATGATAAAACCAGAGGCTGCTGCACAAAGCTCATTCTCATTCTCAGCCTCACTTCCTGTTCGTTGGTATGACAGTAAATGTAATCTCGCTGCAGGTTCACCTTTTGTGATCTGTTGTAGTCCATTTCTTCAGATTCATCCTCAGGAGCTTAAAGGCCGCTCAAACTCTCTTCTTCAGATCAGAATCAGAACTAATGTATTTATCCCTAGGGGGAAATTGGATTTAACTGTTTCTTCAGTATAAAATTAAAAAAATACATTCAATGAAATAGAAAAGATATTTATACAATAAAGTAAATATAAACAAAACATTTTTTTTCATATATAATAAATTGTATTAAATCAATTATTCCTATATCTAACTTGGAGAAGAAATAAAATGTGCACATTGTTCCACAAGATATAACAAAAATAAATATGTTGAAGTATGAATTATACAATAAATACAGTAGTGTATTTATATAGAAAATGACATTAGTGCTATTGCACAATAATGCCATATGCCAGATTTTTTTAATGAGATGTGGAGCAGCATCAGCGACACAATCCCCTACAGAATCCGTCTGGCTGCAGGTTGGGATATTTTTATCCTGAAACCCACAGAGACACGTCGGCTGGATGTAATTAAAGAGACGTTTATAAAGCGTAGGCTTGTGAGTCACAGAGTTTATCCCACTCGCAGCAGGTGTCATTTGAGGAAAGATCTCCAGTGTGTGCCTCTGATACATTAACATGACATTTAGACATTTAACCCACTGTAATACTGGGAATTGTCGTTTTTCACTTTTTATTTTTATACACATGAAACATAAATGAGCTTTAGGGATGCTGGTTGTTCAGATGGAGCTAGGCTAACTGTTTCCATCTGTTTCCACTCGTTATGCTAGCTAAGTTAGCCTGATGCTTGCTGTAGCTTTATATTTCTCAATCACAAACAAGGGTAGCATCAATCCTCAAATTGCCAAGCATATTCCGAAAAATGTCACCATTTTCTTTTAACTAAAGATCACATTTTTGGATGAAAGGTTTATTCCAAATGAAAGAAATACTCGTATTACAGCCAAACCATAGTTCTTAGTGGTTATTGACAAAAATGGTGCCATTACTTGCCTGGTCAGGGGTTTTCTGACTCTCCACTGATTTATTAGCGCTGTGCCAGAAGCAAGGTTGTATTTTCCAAATGAACAGCCAATTGGACATTTTGAAACGTTGTGTTTGGCCCAGTAAAATGTATTTAATGTAGGCACAGTTGTGTGTTCATGGATTATTTCACAAATCATAATCCAGGACGTAAATGATCTGTTTTAAAATGCAAAAGTTAAACCCATGTGCAAAAAGTAAAAATAAATCTATGGTAGGTTTTACATCAATGTGAGCAGTAAAGCTTGACATTTAAATGTAGATAAGCTGCTGCAGTGTCCACATGCTAATGTAGATTACAGCCTCTGGAGTGACGTCGCAGCTCCAGGCTGCAATAAAGGAGCACAGTTTTGCTCATTCACTGATTTGCCAGTCAAAATCAGAGACCTGTTCGCATCACTCAGCTGGCTCATTCAAATTCTGTGTGTGATGCAGGTGAGAAAAATACCCAGCAGGAGAGGCGGGATGGTCACGACACCGTGCAAATAGATGCATAATCATCAGAGCAGGTGATCTGCCTCTGGCATCACATCAAAAATGATTCATGCACATGAGCTTTACCAAACCTCTTTCATATCCAAGCCGACATGCGACTATACGCCAGAGCTATAGGATTTAATTAAGGCGTTGGGGACTTGTGTGGAGGTGTCAAAAGGCGCTTTATGGTTTGTGTATCTCAGTGAGAATAATAAAGTATTTATCATTTATATTCAATATCAAACAGTAGCTTCCTGTAGAAATATGAGACTGCAATAAATAGTTGATAATCTTCATTATTTATATAATTTTTCCGAGAGCAATAATTCATATCTTGCAAAAAAAGACATTAGCAAACAACATTTTTTTTTTTTTTCTTGAATTTAGTAGACAAAACAATTAAGAGATCACTCAAGAAACTAATCCGAAGATGAGTCAAAGTACTGACACTTATTAGTCATTTTTAAAGCACAAACGGTGAATTTTCTCTTGTTCCAGCTTCTCAAATGTGAGGATTTTCCTTTTGTCTCATGACATTTGAAAACGTTAAATCTGACTTGTCTTTACTTTCATTATGCACATTGGTTGCAGACTTTAATTAGCTAAAAACACTTTTTCCTCTAGATGTAAGCAGAAATAGAGTGAATATTGCTTTTTATTGAATATGGGTAAATAAATAATAATAAAAGAATGTACCTTATCAACAGAGGAAATATACTGATTCATTAATAAAAGGTAAATAAATAAAACGTACAACTCTTCATATAAAACAACGTAGTTTTTGAGCTTGTAGTTTGAATTGTATTAATATAGCACCTCTTCAAACAAAGTTACATATTGCTTAACTGATAGAAATGTACCGTATACCACATACAAATATTTAAAACACACCTAAAAGGGGAAAGAAAGTCAGTAGCGGAGTCTAGATATAAGTTCAATTCTATCCAAAACATTTGTATTTGTGGAAGAAGAAGATGTTGCTGTGTGTTTGTGAAGTGTACCCATTAAGAGAATGAAATCCACCCATGGAGTTAGTGATGCTCAGATGCCTGTACATCTGTCCAAAAACAAGTGGAGGATTGATTCTGGACTCGTCGTTGGAGAGGGATGGTCACACACAACAACAAAAATGGCAATCAATCTGGTGGGCTGCAACGCCGACTTCCTGCATCACAACACTGTCAACCAATCGGGCTTCAGCCTCATGCGTCTCCATGGTAACAGGGCTTCCTCAGTGCCTAGGAGGTGGAGACGGCGAGGGAGGGAAAACAGAACAGAGGTGGATGGGGGAAGAAGAAGAAGAAGAAGGAGAGGGAGAAGAAGAATCGATTCCTTCTCTTATTTCCCAGTGAGGATTTAAGAAGCTCCTTCCTGAATACCGGGGCTGGGGGGGGGGGCGAGGCTGCGGGTGGATTGGTTGACAGTATTCGGCAGAAAGAGAGGGGATCGGGGAGGGGGGGGAAGATGCCCGGGCTGCTGGTCTCTGTGGGACCATGCAGATCTGCCCCTAAAGACTCTGCTCAGAGGATCAGTGTGGCTGTTTGCTCCTGCGAGGTAAACTGATTTATTATATTGAAATACCTTTATTTGCAGCTGTTGCTATAAAGACAGGTACATTATGGCAACATGGATGCCTGCCTGTTGGACTCCAGTCCACACTGATGTATTTGTAAAGAGGAGGAGGCTGAGGAGCTGCAGGTGGCTGCAGTTCGAGGGGGGGGTCTACAGGTGGCTTTGTTCATGTTACTGCGAGAAAGACATTTGAATGAGATGAGTAATGTTTGAAATGTATTTGTAAGGAGCAGAGGAGTGTTGTTGCAGCGAGGCTTCATGTCTCGCTGCAACACATGTTTGATGGTAGTGTAGTGTAGTGATGTGCAGGGAGTTTGTGTACGCTGATGGGAGGAAACGTAATCAATCAGCATCAGCACCACAGAAAAGACACTAAATGACAACATTTGACTGTCATATTTTAAAGTGCAGTTTAGCCACAGCTGCTGATGATCACTTATGCTTTGCAGCTCATTTGAATGAGATTTGAAGTACGCAGCGAGAGCGTACCGTACAGTACTCGACTCCTCCAGAGATCACACTCGGTGTGTTTGTCTTCCTCGGCCTGCTCGTGTGCGTGGCAGGCGTCGTCTGATTCATTCTGCAAGACAGCATGTTTCTTCAGATGTGAAGAATGCTGTGGTGTGTTTTGTTATCAAAAGCAGAGACAAATTCCATCAGGGGACCTTGTTAGTGCAGCAGGACTCCTGTAGCGCTTCAAATCGCTGGAGAGGAATCGACTCAGATGCATCAAACTGTGATGATGTGTAACAAAGACACGGTGCATTGGCTTCTTGCTCTTAAATGTAATGCATGTTAGATTACACATTTTATATATGTACACAGTAATCGTTATAGTTTTTGTCCCATTTGTCCGTGCGATTATGAT